ACAGTACAGTTTTTACCTATACATACACATTTTGTGTAAAGGACAGAATCTCACCTAGTATATTAATGTCTTCTTCAGCATTTTCCTCTTTTCAGTACAATGATTACAAACATACTTAATCAACAACTTAATTATGTAACTATTTCTGGGCATAGGAGCAGGATTTGGGGGAATCACCAAGGGATAATGCAGAATTTTGGGGCTAGCAACTGGGAGTGCTATTATCAACTAAAATCTAAAGATCAAGAGAATATTGTGGTAATCAGAGCCCAGTTCTTAGTGGTACTGTCCTTACTGGGTGCTGCAGCTTCCCATTGGCAAGTACTAATGGGCATTGTAGTATTAAGAGCCATCACAGTGTATCTCCTGGATTCTCAAAATATTGCTCTTTGTTCATTGTTAAGCAACATCCTAATTTCATTCTCTGTGTGTTGGTTCAGGCAGATGAGAGAGGACAGGCTCAGCTTTCAATTTCACAAAATTACTTCCTCATAAATGCATTCCTTCTTCAAGAAATAGGACCTTAAAATCCATCGAGCCCTAATGTTATGGAGACTGGAAGCAAAAATTACTGAAAGATTTATTTCTTGTAATAGTATTAACTGCTACTTTCATGTCTTGGTCTCAGATTATATATTCTGGTTTTGGAGGCAATGGCGTCCTATACTGACCCCAAGAATAAGGTCTTAAGCACTTTCTGTATGACAGACCTCCAGACGATGCCATCTTTCAGCTTTTAATTGACCTGTCCAATAATGTATTAAATCAATTGTTTCCAGGTAATGGGCATATTATTGTACGTATATTTCAAAATATTGCAAAGGTTGACTCATCCTGTTTGCTTGTCATCATGTATTTATAATTGTCTTACGTGAAAAATTGCTTAGAAGTGAACTTAATTTGGCCTGAAGTTCATTTACTGGTTTATATGACCCCAAGTGAATTTGACTATCCTGATAAATAGATGATAATCTCTCACTGGAGAGGTAAGAATATGACAAACACAGGTGCATTTAAGAATAATGATGCAGGTTTAATGAGGTAATCCAATTAAAAAATTTTGACCAAAGAATGTGATATGTTACAACATCCAGTGCCTAACTAGCATGAAAACCCAACCTGCCACAATATCAAAAAGCTATTTCCAATGAACAATATGTATACTTGGCTCCCTGAGTCTCTGTAAGAAACAGGACATCTGGTGTTAGTTAAAACAGAGAGACGAATTTGGAGATTTGAGTCCTATACCCATGTCTTGTATTTTTCAATTATTTACCAACCTAGATTTAAAGGAAATAAATTCTTAAACTATATGTGCTTACTATGTGGTTTGTGTGGTCTCTTGGATCTACTGCTTCAGGCACTTAATTGATTTTTTGCTGAGTAAAATTAAAATTGTAGCCTCAACACAACCCATATATTCAGAACAGCAAGTCCATTTTCCTGATACCTTTGTTGTAAACTGTGCTGCCTATTCAAAGATCATGTGTGGTGATGTGCGATATGCCATCACAAGGGAAAAGACAATCACTGTGTTCAAGAATAGTGGTCCTGGAAGAAAATCTTAAGGTAGGGAATGGCAAATACGTAGTCTAAATATGTGTATCACTCTATGAGGACCAAAACTGACCCTTCCATCCTGGAAGGAGTCCTGTGTATCATTTTGATACCAATTATGTGGCTGTTCCACTCAGAAAATGATGGTGAAAATTGGGGGCTCAATATTGGTCTTAAGTATTAGAATATTAGACACATGCAATGGCAGCAGCTAGTTCAGTACTGAAAGGAGGAAGTGCATATTCTGCAGCCCATGCTTCCATGGTCATTTTGTATGTGGGCATATTCACAAGAAACAGGGAGGATGGGAAAAGAAGTTGACTGAAATCTATAGGATGGGCTGTCATCTCCATCTAGTCACTGAGCTTCTTTTGTAGTGGATGCCCTTTGATTAGCGTTTCATGGACCACAAATATCTTCAAGCTCCGAATACTATATACAGTGTCTATTGTCATAGTAAATCCAGACACTCATGCTCGTTGTTGGTAGGGATAGAGGAGAAAAGCATTTTCCAGATTAATAGCTGAGTCCCTGATACCAGGGGATGTGTTGATTTGCTACACTTAAGATATCGTATGTGAACCTATGATTAGCTTTGTAAATTATTTTCTGATAAATTATAATCATTTCTATGACTCACTTAACTTTTAGTACTCCAAACAAGTGTGTTAAATGAGATTGTGATAGGAATCTTCACCTCTGTATCTTCCAAGTCTTTGACAGTACGTGGATATCTGAAAAATCCCCAGAGTTATGACAGTGCTTGTGATGTATTATCTTGTTGAAAGGTGAGGAGCCAGCAATTCCAGTGGCTTCCACTTGGCCTTTTGTGAAGATCTCTAGCTTGGGTGATTGAAAGGCCTCACAAGCCTCCATAAAGAATACTCAGGTAATGCTTTTCACACAGGATAATTAGAGCCTGTGGAGTTAAAGTAAGAGAAAGAGAGTAAAGATGAACATCAATGGTCCAAAAGACTTCCAGGCACAGATCCCCAGGGTCCTTTCTTATTTGTACAGGACACATTTTGTTGTAGGAAATAAACCAACGAGATTTGTATGATGAAGTTTGATTTGATGTAGAAGACAAAAATAACTAATGGGGTCCTTTGCATTCCTCTAACCCTTTAACTAAGCCAGCCTGTTTCATGGATTATAGCAGTTGTAATCCATAAATAAACTAGCCTTTGGAGGCTAATGGGAAAAGTGGAGGAAGACTTTCAAAGATAAACACCAAATCATAAATTATTAGTTAGCCACACATACTTAGCTCAACCCAGAGTTAATACTAGGCTCTAGACCTCCATGAAAATAACCATAGGCCTATCATCATCCAGGTGAGGTTACTCACATGGAGATCCTCTCAGTTGCTAAGTGTATCTGCCTTCTGGGATCAGAGAAATAATCTAAGATGAGTCCATGATCATACTGGATCCATTGTAAGAAGAACTGAGGGTAAATCTTTACCTATAACTTGACCTTTATGAATTCTCACTCTTCTTTTTGTACCATAGTGGTGCTTTGGGTCTTCAGAGATTAGTGTCAGTTCAAAGTGATTATTGAATAACCTCTAGAAGATCCAGATATTTCTCTTTCTCCTGAATGCAAGTACCATGGTAAATAGATTCTGTGTAATTTAATCTAATAAAGAGATCTTATCTGGAATTTTAACTGGAATTAACTTCTAATTTAGGTTGAGATAAATTGCTGCATCACAAAGGAGACAAAGAATTAGAAGAAAGATGTCATAAGAAATGCTCAAAGGAAGAACTCAGAACATGTGGATCAAGATTGCATTATACTTTCCAGTAGGGAGAAAAAAAATGAAGAGCAGCTCCTAGCAGGCTATCATCTAGACTCATGAATGAGGAACAGGTCCATGATTGAGTTCATGTTCATAATCTGTCTGAGATGGGCATGATTGGGTAGTGAGACCACTGCTCTCTAATAAACTCTAGCAGATAATGTACTCAACTTATGTCTGTGAGGCTCTAAGAGTATCAACTACTTGGTGACAAGCATCCTCATCATCTGGTCTTGTAAACATACAAACATAACAGGTAAACTCACATTTCAAATTTTAGGTTTCTCCAGGTGTATGGCATTGGGTTTTGTGAAGATCTGGAATGAAATCTCGCTGCAAAGGGATGATTCAGGAGTAATACTAACAGAGTCGGTTTCTTCTACGTATCACACAAGCAATTTGATGACTTTATGACACCTGGACAGTGAATCTTCCTTCAATTCCTATTAATTATTGAAGAAATAGGCATTTTATATCAATGAAGGAAGAAAAATCTAGTTTATTCTAAACTCTTCAGGAATTTTAGGACCCCCACTCTCATCATTACCTGGGTGATGAGAGCCTATGTCTAGGATTTCCTAGAAAGAGACAGGAACTATAAGGAGGAATGTTAAATAGGGCAAATGATCTCAAAAGAAAAAATGGCTTCTCTTCATGGTACAATCATTATTTTATGAAACGACAATTGCTTTAAGAGTGAAAGATAGGTGACTTCATTTCATGATGTCATATGGATTAAGTGGAATCATATATAAGATGATTTCATCTGAATTGATGAAAGGACCATCTCTGGGGGAAATGATTGGCAGAACCTGAGAGTGAGAGATTAGGATTTCAGTTTATTCAGCTGGGTTTACAGCCAGAATCCAGAACACTGTCAGAATTGGAGTGGGATTTAAAAGCCAAGAACTGTGGGAGAAATGAAAAGGGAAAAGTAGAAGGTAGGTAGTGATTCAGCTTGCATTGCAGAATTTAGGTTCTCTGTTCCTAAACAGAGACTCTTCAGACTCTCTTCTCAGTCCCAGCTGTATAACACTTTAAAATATCATGGATACCATTCCATTAATTTAGGAAGTATGGTAGATCTGGGTCTGCAGGTGAATCGTTATTTTTGGTAAACTATGTAAAACTTAAAAGAAAGAAATACTCCCCTCATAAAAGGTAAGCAAGTTAAAAGATCAAAACATACAGCAATATGAATCACTTTTATTTATGATATCTACAACAGAACTGTTTGTTCATACATATATGCATGTTAATATGTACAAAATACTTTCATCTACCTATTAGACTTTCAATTGGGTTATGATCCAGAAGAAAACTGAGCAGAGTTTTACAAAATGGTCACATATGAATTGTAAATAGTTTTAAAATAAAGTATTTTAAAATATGTTATTTTAACAGACTAAGAGAGCCAGAAGTCATTACTCCTGAAAAATGTATTCTTATTAAAACTCAAACTGGAAAAAATACAGTAAGCTTATAAAAATTTAGCCTCTGCAAACTGAAAATTATTATCAGAATGTTAATATATTTGATATAATGATCTATAGGTGATTTAAATAGATAAATATTTGTTTCTAAGAAAAGAATTTGTCTCTACAAGATAGAATATATTCATTTATTTGTCAGGGTAATTCTTTTGAATAAACTCAGAAATTGCTAACAAACTTTCAAATCTTGAGTTTACCTTATCTACTTAAGTTACATAATCTTACAATAATAAAAAAGTGAAAGGATATCTTGACTTCGACGTAAAATGATCAAAGATTAAACTATGATTTTAAAGACTATGATAGGAAAGAGCATCATCTTATTGCCAGAATAAATAATTCAGCACCATTATAAATTATTGCTGTGGTTACATTAACTGGCTCTTAAACCAAGCAGCGTTTGTGTTTACATTTTTTTAAATTCTACACCTGAAATCATTATAATTATTCAGTTATTTCAAAACCTTATAAAATTGGGAAAATATCTTTTTTCTCCTATGTTTCTTTAAAGTTAATTTCTCACCTAAGAATTAATTGGTTACCTTCCTCGTATTTGTGTCACTATTACAGCAAAATACAGATACGCCCCTAGTTATTTGTATTATTCTAACACAGAGCCATAATTTTAGGTCTCTCAAGCTTGGGTTATAAATATCAAACTCTGTGGTAAATCATTTACTAAACTTGCTCAATAGACAATGTTACCACATATTGAATAATTCCTTGAACTTAAGGACAAAGAATTGCCAAATATATTGCAAGAGAATGTGTTTAGAAAAGACAGGAAGAGAAAGCCTTACTTCTATTAAAATTCGACTTATGTCTTCAAGTTGACTGAAGATTTCTGGACAACGCTAGGTATAAAGGATCCTAAGTACTTGTGCCTGGTATAGTCGTCATGGTACAGTTTACGAGAGGCCCAGGTGAAGTGATGGAGGAAAGGAAGAAGAAGAAATGGGGTAACTCATTGAGTTTCTTGTTAAATGGAGAGATCACTCCCACAGCAAATAGCATTTCTGAGAATGCATTTTACCCCAAAGTATCTGAAGTGTAGCTAAGTACTTTTGTCTCTTCTTTCCAAATATAGATAGGTAAAATTAGTGTAGGAAAGAATTTTTAAGAAAATTTAAATTAGGTAAAAGGTTAAGTATTAAATTCCAATCATTTACTTTTGCTCTACCATACCATCAATCCTGCTACCTTGTAAAAATCAACCAGTTCTCTGAAGCCACAAAGTGTTACAATACAAATCAGGTACTACTATGATTAATATCCAAATCAAGACAACCTGCATATCAAAGATAAAAAATAGTGTTTTGAAGTCCAAGGAGGACAAAGTCAGAGGTGTCATATGAAATGAAACTGATGGTATAAACATGCTTCACAGAAGAGTAGAAACCATAGAAGTCTCCTGATATTTCTAATTGGAAGGGAGGCTCTTGTTACAGCTTCCTCTATCCTGCTTCTTGTCTAGTTGCTTTAGAGAATGTGCAGTAATTATAACATATGGGAACCAAAATGATGTTAAATATTTAGAAAATGTTCCATATGATGGATACTGAATACAGAATTAATCATTATGTTCCTAAGGCCTCAAACAGCATCTCAATATGTTGAACTGAAACAAGTGAATAAAGTAAAGCACTAAGATTTCAATAGTAGCAACTTCCATGCGTTTATATGTTTATCTTCTCTTTTTAAAGACTAGATTACCTAAACCTTAATTCTAAATCATGAGGCCAACTCCTTGGAAGAGTCTTTAATCTCTGACTTGATAAGCTGAGGAATGGACAAGAGCTTGGAAGAGTAGGAGAGGAATCTGTTTAACTCAGTGTCTCGATTAACTTGGATGGGCCCTATCAAGATTTCCAGACAAACTCAAAGAAAACTACATTCTCTTTTTCTTCTTTCCTGTCTTCCCAAACTTCCAGCAACAGAACAGGCAACATTTTGTGACCAGAAACATAATAGTTGCCACACAGGCTAGCAGGAACCCAATCACATCCAAAGAACGGTACTGGTACCAGGTGAGATCGTAGGAGGCTGGCCGCAGGTGTTTGGCTCCTTTGTGGCGCATGACAAACTCGATCCAGAAGACTGCTCGATCCAGGGGCTTCATGGGCTGATCATGGTGAATTCTTGATAACCTCATAGCATTCTCTTTATAGCTAAAGATTGGATACATAGACAGAAACTTGAAAAATTTATGAAGAACATGATATACTAAATTATGTAATGTTATTAAAGGTTACTACATAATTATATCATAACCCTGTCATAGGTGATATCATTGAGAGCCAGAATGCATATGACAGTTTATTTTCTCACGAGAAATTTCTAGATATGGCAGTCTATCAGTTGGAATTATTCAATATTTCATAGTCTAAGTAATAATTGGAGGTAGGAGAGAAAATAATTTCTGATTGGAAACAGCATTTAAAATGTTCATAAAAATGAATGTAGACATTTCAGTTAAGAATAAAGAATTTTGATTTCATTTGCTAAGTGTGGATTTAGGAACAAGATAGTGACAGGAAGTAGCATTGAGGAGCAAAACTATGATAAAGAGACCTCCCTCTTCCCCCACAGGTTGGATCTGGAGTGTAAATGTTAACAATAAGCTAGTCTTCAATGGTAGCAGGCATTGGTTTCTGTTGATGATTCTCCTAGTCTGACTTTGAGAACAAACCAAAAAGTTAATGTGACCCTATGGGCAAAAAGTAGGGCCTGAGATTGAGTGGAGACTGGAATCTTTGCTTCAAGCTACAGAGGGATGTAAGTGCCTGTGGTGAGAAGGGACAACGGCAATAGTGAGAACACTAACCCTTCTAACTTCACTCAAGGAACATAAGACCAGGCCAGAGTTTTGGTTTAAGGTTTTGGGTGGCTGACATAGAAGAAGGATTTCCTTGGATTTGCAAAGGAGTTGAAGGAAGGAGGTAATTCTTCCACACTGAAGTGCAATCATCATTTGAGGAGAAGATAGAACATTACATTGCAGAAAATAGTGGAACAACATGTAAAAAGTTCTTATGAAGAGAATGAGCAATCAGAAAACTTATACAAAGCCCTGTTATCCTTTGGTTTTAAAACAGCAGGCAGGCTTTTCTTAATATGCAAGAATTTGAGGAATAAGTTCCTCTGGCGATATCTCAGGAAGAAAAAGAAACAACAAAAGCTCCAAGAGACTTAAACAAAATATTTGTTAGAGAACAAATTCAGAAAACCAAAACCTCTCAGGAATAGAAAGACTGAGGTAAAACATGAATGACATCACTAAATCTGTATGAATACCAAAGTAGGGTTAAACAACACGAAATTGTGGTCATAGACAAGGTGTATATGTTGTAAGCCTTAACAATGAAGTAATGATAAGACCACAAACAAAAATTAAGATGTGAGGTTTAAGAGACAAACATGAGAAGTTGAGAAGTGACTTTAGAGAAGTCATTCTATATTCATCAAAATTGGAAACATTTAAAAAATAATTATTCTAATCTCTAATGTCAATATTTGTTCATGGACCTATATGTAATTTTTAGTAAGAGATTTATCTATTAGAGAATACTTATACAAAGCCTGGCAATTCTTTTAGTTTCACGATAGTTTCTTTCTTTCCCTGAATATATTTATTTGATTTATTTTAAATAAAATAACATAATTAATGTAATCATTTATGGTTGAGAATTTATGTTTATTTATTTATGGTCACAGTTATGTTTATCTTGAAATGAAATAGTATTACCAAGTAACATCAAAATGAAAGAATTTTTTCCAACTTTACTGAGATATAATTTAACTACAACAATGTGTAAATTTAAGGTGTAAAATGTATAGCTTGATACACTTATACATTGCAATATGATTACCACTGTAACATTAGCTAATGTCTCCATCGCATCATATTATTACCATGTTTTTTTGTTGTGGTGAGAACATTTAGGATCTACTCACTTAGCAACTCTCAAGCATGTATTACGATATTATTAGCTATAATCACCATGGTTTACAAAGATCCCTAGAATTTATTCATCCTATACATGTATGTTTGTACCCTTTGACCAGTATATGTCCACTTCCTGAACTCCTAGGCCCTGATAGCCACCAGAGTCTACTCTCTGTTTCTCTGAGTTTTGCTTTTTAGATTAGAAATGTAAGTGATATCATAAAGTATTTGTCTTCTCTGTCTGAGATTTCACCTAGCATAATGCCTCTAAGGTTATCAAAGTTGTCACAAATATCAGGATTTCCTTCTCTCCAAAGATTGAAGAACATTCCATTGTATACATATACCACATCTTCTTTATCCATTCATCCATTGACAGCCACTTAGGTTGCTTCCTTATCTTGGGCATTGTGAATAATGTTGCAATGAACATGGGAGTGCAGATATCTCTTCCGTGTCCTATCCTCATTTCCTTTGGATTTTTAACCAGAAATGTGATTGCTGAATCATATAGTAATCTATTTTTAATTGTTTGAGGGAACTCCTTGCTGTTCACATGGTGGTTGTACCAGTTTACATTCCCTGCAAAAGTATGTGTTCTCCTTTCTCCACATCCTCATCTGCACTTATTATACTTGTCTTTTCATGACAGCCATTCTAACAGGTGTGAGGTGATATCTCATTGTGGTTTTGATTGCATTTCCTGATAATTAGTGATGTTGAGCCCCTTTTGTTGTACCTTTTGGCCATTTGTATGTCTTTGAAAAAATGTCTATTCAGTACTCCTGCTCACTTTTTTATCTACTTAGTTTTTCTTGTGTGTTTGTTTTGCTATTGAGTTATATGAGTTCTTCATATATTTTGGATTTAACCCATTACCAGATATATAATCTGTGAATATTTTCACCGATTCCATAGGTTGCCTTTCATTTTGTGATCATTTCTTTTGCATATAGAATCTTTAAGTTTGATGTAGCCCCACTTGTTGGTTTTTGCTATTGTCCCTTGTGCTGTTTGTGTTGTATCCAAAAATAATCATTGCCAGACTCATATAAAGGGGGTTTTCCCCTATGTTTTCTTATAGGAGTTTTATGTTTTCAGGTCTTATATTTAAGTCTTTAATTCATTTCTAATTAATTTTTGTGAGTGGTGTAAGATAAGGGCATAGTTTCACTCTCCTGTATGTGATATCCAGTTTTACCAGCATCATTTATTAAGGAGACTATTCTTTTCCATTGAATATTCTTGTCTACTTGGCCAAAGTTAGTGGACCATATGTGGAAGGGTTTATTTGTGTGCCCTCAATTCTGTCCATTGGTCTATGTGTCCTTTTTAGCCAGTACCATTCCTTCATTTATTGCTACAGTTTTGTAGTATAGTTTGAAGTCAGGAAGCGTGATGCCTCCAGCTTTGTTCTTTCTCAGGACTACCATGGCTATTTTGGATCCTTTGTGGCTCCATATCAAATTAGGAGTTGTTTTTTTTTTTCTATTTCTGTGCCCCAAAGGCTGGAGAAGCTGTCACTCAACCCACCCTTACTTTCTTGGTTAGGGAGTCTTTCTAGCTGAGCAGTTCCCTCCTGGCAGTAAGTAAGCAATGCTGGCTGGGGGATGGGACAATGCAGGCAAACGGAAACGATCTTCCTTCTCTTCGGTGATTGTTTACACGGTTTTTTTTTGTTTCACGGTCTCGCTACAATTTCTTGCGTGGAGTCAAGAGCTCTCCCGGAGCTGATTTTGTTCATGGATACCTATCTAATTATTGATGTTTGTCGAGCGACAGGCTGGGAATTCTATGTCCCCATTTTGACCTCCCAATTTTACTCTGTTTTCTTCCTCTTGTTTTAAGTTAAAATATAGCAATATAGAACATTTTTGTTAAAAATTAGTATGATGCAATTTTCATAAAATCATTTTCATGCTTTTCTTTATCCTTTATAAATTAGAAAAAATAAAATATTTCAAGTAATACTTCTCTATTGGTAATTGGTTATAGCTGCACGAGGAGAATTAAGTGAGTTTTAATTTTTGTGTCTCTATTTTTTTGTTATAATACCTAAATTCTCTATAATGGTACTACCAGCAATTTGTGAGAAACAAACAACAATTTCTATTCATACAAATAAAGCTTTGTGTCTCTTTAATAATAGCTTATTTTCTTTACATAAATTTAGAGTTTCTTTGAGGTTGTAATCAATTACTCATTAACAATACGTGAATTAAAATGTCATGGAATTTGAGAAGTATAAGATAATTTTATTTGATATTATTAAGGTGTTGGTGATTATTTAAAAGTAACCAATTTAAAATTTAATGAATCAGTTTATTTCTTTTAAAATATTATTTGCTTCTCAGTAAAGAGTATATTCTATACTCACGATGGGTTGTTAATAACTTCCTTCAAAGCGTTAAGTAGATCAGAACTGGTCATTGCTTGCAAGTCTACTTCAACAGCTGCCCCTTTGGCCTTCAAACGAGCAATATTTCCAAACTGATCACCAAATATTGGAATTCCCACCACAGGGATCCCATGGTAAATAGCTTCATAGATTCCATTCGTTCCGCAGTGAGCAATAAATGCTCTAGTTTTGGGATGACCTAACAGGAAAAAATATATCGTTATCATAAGTTGTGAGAGTTTCAGAAACAGAAAACCATGACCACTGCACAGAACATTGATTCAATTAGGCAATATCTTCTGTACAATTCTGTGCCATGAGGCCATATATAAATTCCTATAAGCTCTAAAAAAAGCAGCAGTTCGTTATCCCAGCAATTAAGTCATTCCCTAAATCTCTGAGAAGGTTTCTCTGGAGTTTAAATGATGGACAATAGTTGTCAGGTGGACAAGGTGTTGGGTTAAGGAATATATTAACAAGATATAATGGAAAGATTGAAGAAATGAGAGTCTTGTGTGGATGGGGAAGGGGAAGCAAGATGTGCAGTGTTTCAGCAGGAGGATGTTGGACTAACAGGCTAGAAAACAATACTAGGACAAGTTCATGAAGTACTCTGTTTAAGAAAATGGGATTTTGCACTTGATTTTATAATATGGAGTCATCTATAATACTAAAAATGATAAATAGAATTACCAGGTTTTTATTTTCAAATAGCTATAGTGGGGAAGAGAGAAGAGAGGCAGTTGAAAACCAATACAGAGACTCAGGAGATACTGCAATATTCTATGCCAAATTTAATGAGAGCCTGATCTAAAGGTATGTTGACTCTGATTCTGAGAAGAAGGAGATTGTATAGTAAACTGGAGAATTATAAGTTCCATATTAATGTTACATCTGGACATAGATTCTCTCCTCGACCAAACTCTAGTCTGGCTCCTCTGAACTTTATTCTCAACTAGGCCCTGATATTTTCGCTTCTGTGTGTTGTCTCTGCATTGTCTAATTTTAGCAAGAATCCTGCTAAGTCAGTTTAGCTAGACTCTCCCAGACTCAATATCTGATCACCCTCTATATCTGATCAGTTTCCTAATCTGTCAGCATCTGCCAGGTGATGTCTCATCACCCTGACCTACCTTCAGCGAGCATCTGGTTAGGTCAGTTTATCCAGAGTCCTCCATGCCCCTGAGGTTTCCTCAGATTAATTTTCCATCTAGTGCCCACCCTCCTTCCCCCTGTTCCCTCTGCTGCTCTGCTCCTTGGCTATAAAATCTCTACTTTTCCTTTTTGCATTCAGAGTTGAGGCCAATCTCTCTGCCTCACTGCAAAAGTCCATGACGGCCTTCAATAGTGTGCCTTGCAGTCTTTAACAAGAGTCATGAATACTTTTTCCTTTAAGAAACTTCAGAAAAAATGTGAAGAAGACTGGAAGTGGTTTTTTTGCTTGTTTTGAATACAAATTTGTTGGATATATTTGTTATTGAGTAATCATTCAGATTATCCCTCATTCAGCTCTTTTGTTTTGCTTCTCTTTGGTCTTACCGAGAAGATCATTCTGTGGAATCCAGTCATATAGCCGTGTATTGGGTCCTAATGTATCTGGTTTCTTTCTTCTGTATCTCCACAGAACCTGTTAAGATAAATGCCTTTATTAAAAGATTTTCAGAATCACAGAATTCAGTTACTTAGAATTAATCTACTTCAATGCCTCCATATAACAGATGAGCAAACTGAGGCCCTAAGTGATTAAGTAATGGGTGTTTTTAAATCGTTCAAACTGCAACTATGCTTCACTTGCTTGCTATAGTCCTGATAGATAGGCTGTCATCAACAGGACAACTCTCATTTGGTAGATAAAGGAAAAAAAAATCTGTATCTGAAATAATTACAAATTGGTGTTACTAGGCCTTTCTGGTAAATGGCAGTTTTAAGTGGAGTTATCAGAAGCAAGGGGGAGGGATGTTACTTACAATTATTTTAAGAATTAGTGTTTTGAACTTTTGTTACTTATTTGGCAGTAATATAAAGGCAAACATTGTCTTATTTTTACTATTGTAAAATATACACAATGATATTTATCATTTTAATCTATTATGGTACAATTCGGTGGCGTCTAGTATATCAACAATGTGTGTAACCATCACCACCTTCTACACCTCAAGAAGTTTTCATCATCCCAAACATAAACACTGCACCCTTAAACAATAACTCCGTGTTCCCCCACTCTCCAGTCCCTGGTAGCCTCGATTTTTCTTTCTGTCTCTGAGAATTTGACTACTCTAGGTACCTCATGTAAGTGAGATCATATAGTATTTGTCTTGTTCTTGCTGGCTATTTCACTTAGTGTTATGTCCTTAAGCGTCATTCATGTTGTAGTGCATTAAAATTTCCTTCCTTTTGAAGATTTAGTAATATTCCATTGTGGGTACATACTACATTTTGTTTGTCCATTTATTTGGTTATTGTGAATCATGTTGCTATGACTATTGTGTAAAAACCCTATTCAAGTTCATGCTTTCAGTTCTCTTGGATATATAGCTAAGATTGGAGTTATTGGGTCATCAGGTAGTTCTATTTAACTTTTTGAGAAACTGCAACACTGTTTTCCCACAGTGGCTGCATCATTTTTTACTCCTACTAGCAATGCACAAGAGTCTTTTTGTCTCCACATCCTACTGATGCTGTTATTTTCCATTTTGGGATAATAACCATCCTAAGGCATGTGGAGTGGTCTCTCACTGTGCTTTTGATTTGCATTTATCTAATGATTAATGATGTTGAGTATCTTTTTAGGTACTTATTGGCCATTTGTATATTTTCTATGGACAAGTGTCTATTGAAGTCCATTCCCATTTTTGAATTGGCTTTTTGTTGAGTTATAGGAGTTCTTTACATATTGTGGATATTAATTCTTTATCAAATACATGATTTGCAAATACTTTTACCTCTATATAGACATTGCATTTTGCTATCCTGATAGTATCTTTTGATGCAGAAAAGTCCTTAATTTGATAAAGTCCAGTTTATCTATTTTTTCTTTTGTTGCCTGTACTTTTATGTCATTATCTATGAAATCATGGCCAAATCCAATGTGAGGAAGATTTACTCTAGCACTTTCATCTGAAAGTTTTATACTTTTATGTCTACAGTTTAGGTGTTTGGCTCATTTTGAGTTAATGTTTATATATAGTGTAAAGTGAGGGTCCAACTTCATTCTTGTGGATGTGGATATCAAGATTTTACCAGCACTATTTTGAAGATACTGTCCATTCTCCACTGAGTGACCTTAAACAATTGTTGAAAATCAAATGACCGTACATGTGAGGATTAATTTTTGACTCTGTCTTCTACTTCATTGGTTTACGTATCTATTCTTCTGCTAGTACTACATAATTTGTGGTAGTTTTATATTAAATTTCAAAGTTGGAAAATGTGAGTCCTCTAATTTTTTTCTTTTTCAAGATTCTTTTGTCTATTTGTGGCTCTTGCAGTTCCATATGAGGTTGAGGATTAGATTTCCCATTTCTCCAAAAAAGACTCTTCAATTTTGATAGGCATTGCATTGAGTGTAGATTTCTTTGGATAGTGTTGACATCTTATCCATGTTAAATCTCCGTACCCCTGAACATAGGATGGCTTTTCATTTATTCAGATCTTATTTAATATCTTGCAGTAATAATGTTTTTTAGTTTTCAGCATATACACATTTCACCCTCTTGGTTAGACTTATTCTTAAATATTTAATTCATTTAGTTGCTTTTGTAAATGGAATTGTTTTCTTAATTTCATGTTCAGATTGTTCATTGATCATGTGTACAACCATAACTGATTTTTGTATGGATCTTGTATGCTGCAAATTTGTTGAATTTGGTTATTAGTTCTGGTACCTTTTTATGGATTCTTGGAGACTTTCTGTATATAGGATAATGATATCTGCAAATAGAAAATGTTTCACCTTTTCCTTTCCAATTTGGATGCCTTTTATTTCTTTTTCTTGTGTAAGATCCTAAGCTAGAACGTCTGGTACAATGCTAAATAGCACCGGTAAAAGCAGGTGTCCTTGTATTGCTCCTTACCTTAGGAGGAAAGTTTTCAGTTTCTACCATGGAGTAAGATGTTACCTGTGGGTTTTCCAAAAATGTGCTTCACCATATTCAGGAATGTTCCCTCTATTCCTGGTTTTCTGAGAGGTATTATGTTGAAAGAATGTTGGATTTTGTCAAATTCCTTTTTTGGGTGCAAGTGGAAATGATTGTGTGTTTTTTAATCCTTCATTCTATTAATGTAATGTATTACATAGATAGATTTCTTGTGTTGACCCACTCTTGAATTCCTGTGATAGACTCCATTTTATCATAGTGAATACTCCTTTCAATATTCTGTTGGATTTGATGTGTAATACTTTGTTGAGGATTTTTATAGCTGTATTTACAAGGAATCTTGGTCTGTAATTTTATTTTCTTGGGATGTCTTCATCTGGCTTCTGTATCAGGGTAAGTTGGGCCTCACAGAACCATTTAGGAAGTGATTCCTCCTCTGCAAATTTTTGGAAGAACTTGAAAATGATTAGTTTAATTCTTTAATTCTTCTTTAAATATTTGATTCAATTTACCAATGAAGCTATCTGATCCAGGACTTTTCCTCGTTCAGAGATTTTGGATTAGGAATTCAATCTCTTAATTTGTTATAGGTCTGTTGAAATACTCTATTTCTTCTTCAGTCAGTTTAAACAACTTGTATGTTTCAAGGAATTTATTTCTTCTAGATTGTCCAATTTTTCTGGAATGCACTTGTTCATAACATCCTTATAATCTTTTTTATCTCTGTAAAGTCAGTAGTGTTCTCCCTGTATTCATTTCTGATTTTAGTTATTTACTTTTTCTCATTTATTGTCTTTGCCACTCTAGCTAAAGTTCTGATAATTTTGTTGATCTTTTCAAAGAACTAACTTTTGGTTTCATTAATTTTCTCTGCTGTTATTCTATTCTCTGATTTATTTATCTTTGCTCTAATCTTCATTATTTCCTTCCTTCTGGTTGCTTTGGGTTTAGTTTGCCTTCTTTTTCTAATGCTTTATGATATAAATTAGTTTATTGATTTTAGGTCTTTCTTCTTTTGCAGTATAGGCCTTTACAGCTCTACATTTCCCTCTGAGAACTGCTTTCACTGTATCTCATAAGTTCAGTCTGTTCAGTTTTCACTCATTTTAAAGTATTTTTAAGTTATCCCTGTAATTTATCCTTTGACCATCTGGTTGTTAACTTCAATAGCATACAAAAACTCTACTCCTTTATAGCTCCATCCCGCCTTCCATTAACGATGTCACAAATTACATATTTATACACTGTGTTCCTAATAATACAGGTTAATAATTGTTTTTTATGCATTTTTCTTTTCAATCAGTGAGAAAGTGAAGATATGGAGTTACATCCAAAAATGCAATATTCCTAGCTTTTATAATTGCCTTTGTAGTTACTTTTACTGCAGATCTGTAGTTCTTATGGTTTTGTGTTACTATCTAGTAGTCTTTCATTTCAACATAAAAGACTACCTCTTGCCTTTCTTGAAGGGTAGTTCTAGTAGTAATGATCTCCCCCAACTTTTATTTACCTGGGGATGTTTTAATTTATACTTCGTTTTTGAGGAAATTTTTGCCTGACGTAAGATTCTCAGTTGAGAATTTTTTGTTTTAGAATTTTGAGAATATCATCCTACTGCCTTCTGACCTCCAAGGTTTCTGATGAGAAATGGAGGTCATTTCTGTGATTAGTTGCTTCTCTCTTGTTGTTTTCAAGACTCTACCATTCTCTCTGCTTTTTAACAGCTTGATTATAATGTGTCTGGTGTGCATCCCTAAGTTTATCCTATTTAATGTTTGTTGATTTTCTTGGATTTCTAGATTCATTTCTCCCATTAAATTTGGGACACTTGCAACCACTATTACTTAAAATGTTATTTTTGACCATTTCCCTCTTTCTAGGACTTCCATAGTGTGTGTGTTCTTCCACTTGGTTGTGTCTCAGAAGTCCCTTAGGCTTTGTTCACTTTTCTTCATTTATTTTTCTTTCTGTTCCTCTGACTCAACAATTTGTGTCATCTTGTCTTCAAGTTTGCCAGTTCTTTCTTCTGTCTGTTCATGTCTGCTTTTCAATCCAAGAGGAATTTTTCATCTCAATTATTATACTTCTCAGCACCAGATTTCTTTTGTTCATTTTGTAGTTTCTTTCTCTTTATTGATCTTTTCATTATGTTCCTATATTGTATTTTTTTATATCAATATCTTCCTTTAGGTTTTTGATCATCTTTAAGGCAATTGTTTCAAAGATTTTGTCTAGTAATTCCAACATCTAAGCTTCCTCAGGGATACTTTCTCTCACATTATTTTGGCCCTTTGAGTGAGCCATGCTTTCATGTATCTTTGTATGCATTGCGATTTTTGTAGAGAACTGGACGTTGGATTCTTATAATGTATTAACTCTGGATTTGAGATTCTCCTCTTTCCTTGTGGCTTGATTTTTCTTTTTTTTTTTTTTTTGGTTCTTGCAGGGTATCTCTTTGCCAGGAATCAGCCTGAGGTGAAAGCTTTACATCTTCTCAGATCTTTTCTTAACCTGTGTCTCTTGCTGGACATGCACATGGCTTTCTAAATTCTGCTCTCTGTGAGGATGTTTTAAAGTGGTCTCATTCTTTATTGTCTTTCTCCTAAATGGAGAAAAAAGGAAATATGGAAAAAAAAAAGAGACAGTGTTGCTCTTTTAAATTTCTTGAAGTATTTTTAGCTTGTGGGGGTTGAAAAACCTGTGACCAACTTCCAGGCCTCTACCTCAGTGACTAAAGGTAACAATCAACAATCAGAATACAGAAGCCCCATATTTGGAAGATATGATCCTTATTTCCAACCTTGGCTCCACAAATCATACCAGGAATACAGGCATTTTGCCTGGCTTGGGGCTGGGAGATGGAGGATTTGAAGCTGCTGCTCTTCTAAAGGCTGAAGTTGACCAACTTTAATTAATCACTATTTAACAGGCAAGCTTTCCCCTGGAAGTTGTGAGTGCTCTGATGGACTTCAGAGTTCCGGAATAGTGACATCAAACAGTTTCTGGCGGTATAATTGTTTTTAGATTAAGTGGCAGATCCTTGGTTCTTCCTACACCATCCTCATGTCACCTCTAATCACTGTATTTTAATGTAATAGAAAATTGAATATTTTTATGAAGATCCTTTCTAGATTAAATGTTTAAATGAGTATTACTTCAGCAAACAACTTTTGAAAGAAATTTGGATATAAATACAAGTATTGTTATGATCAGTTAGAACTTAAATGACATATATTCTGGTATTTTGCCTAAAACTAGAAAGGAACATTATCCCTGGCAGTATGAGAAAAACATTACTCAGTTATAATCTAGAATGATGTTAATACAAAAAATCTAAAAGGAGCATCATATTATGAACTGTACAAACCTTTTACTATATTACTAAAAGTTTTTCTTTTTAAAAAGATTGGCACCTGAGCTCACAACTGTTGCCAATCTTCTTTTCCTTTTTCTGGCTTTTCTCCCCAAATTACCTCAGTACATGACTGTATGTTTTTCAGTTGTGTGTCCTTCTAGTTGTGACATGTGTGACGCCACCTCAGCGTGGCGTGACAAGTGGTGCCATGTCCATGCCCAGGATCCAAACCAGTGAAACCCTGGGCTGCCAAAATGGAGTGTGTGAACTTAACCACTTGGCAACCGGGCCTGCTCCTACTAAAGGTGTTAACTGTTTAAACAGAAGAATCACTATTTAGAAGTACTCCAAGAATCTAAGCTATCAGTACCAGACTCAATTAAGGCTTCGTGCAAAATCATTGATTATAAGGAAATATGGTCCCAAGGACCTTGTGAATTGAGGCTGTGTTTTTGAATATCTTTTCCTTTATTCTCTGTCATGCTAGTTGTACCCTCTATGTATGCCTCAGACTTAAAAAACAAACCAGAGATGTTGGCCCTGTGGCTGAGTGGTAAAGTTTGCATGCTCCACTTCAGTGGCCCAGAGTTCACTGGTTCAGATCATGGGTGCAGACCTACACACTGCTCGTCAAAGCATGCTGTAGTGGCATCCCACAGAGAAGAACAAGAATGACTTACAACTAGGATATACAATGATGTGCTGGGGTTTTAGGGAGGGGGAAAAAAACAACAAAGAGGATGATGTGCAACAGATGTTAGCTCAGGGTCAATCTTTGTAGGAAAAAAACAACAACAAAACTAGATTAGATTACATGGAAGCCTTAAAACCTAGCCATAAAGCTGACAGATTGTTTGAGGTCAGATTTAGTTGTAATTCACTAGTTAAAGAAAATACTGCAATGCTTTCCTGTTAGTAATGCCAGATTTAAAGCAAGAGAGCAGTCAAATGTTTTTAGCTATCTTCTTCTAACATTTAATATTTTTTCTTTAAGAACCAGTTAAATTGACACTAACAATACCAATAGCTTTTTCTACATTTGTAAAGTACACTTTTAAGGAGACATTCATGGATTTTAGATTAGCTGCCCCTCAAAAAATAAGATTATCTGACCTTCTGTGGAATCTGGGCAAGGGCTGATGCAATCATGTTAGACTTTTCTTCTGTGAGGTTTTGGATCATTGAACCCAGAGTAAATACCACAACTCCATCTTTTCCGGAGCTCTGGACAAACTCTTCTAACTCCTGTAAAGAAAACAAGAGTCTTTGTAATATGAAAGTCTAGAGTTATGAGAATACAATATTCGTACACTCTTCTCAATGTGTCTCAGTTACTAAACCAGTTCTACCTTTTCATACATTAACCATTTTAAAGTATGAAATATGACCTGAAATCGCTGGTTATTAGGCAAATTAAAAATGGTTTAAACAGAAGTTTTCTATCAAGCATGTTCTAAAGATTTTTGAGGTGTGTCTTTGTGTTTACATATTATTGACTACTAGTTATCTTTTGCCAGGTGCTAAGCTCTTTATATGTAGCATTTAACTTCAATACACAGTGATCTTAAGGAATATGTATACATTTGCTGCTGAGATAGCTGTCTCAGAGAGATTAAGGACTTGGTTCAAGGTTACACAGCTGTGGATGGCAGAACTGAATTTCTAAGTTAAGCTTGTTGATTGTAAAGCCAATGACCATACTTAATACTCTGTTCTGCTTTCCAACTCTCTCCTCAATGGTCCAAATGAACACTTGACTTCCACTTTAAGATAAATAGCTCTGCTACTTCACTTCATATTTAACCTTGGGTACTTTCAAGTTATCGTTAACTTTTATGCTGAATCAGTCAGTAATATGACATGCTAATGGGATGTTTACATTGTTTTCCCGTTTTTTCAAATTTTTCTTTATTTTGGTTCCATTTGTACTTTTTATAAATTTCCACAAACACATATAGGAATGAGGTAGCCATATAACTTACTGATCAAATAAGTGATGTAGAAATACCTATGATGCACAATCAGGAGAGAACAGTAATATTATGGGAATGTATTGCTATGCATTGAAAACAGAAATAGTATGTTTAATCATGCTGAAGTTAAAGGAAGTTTTTTCACCCTATATGTAAGTACTAACCAAAATAAGCCAACCAAATGAGACAAGAAAAAAATGTGTCAGATTTAAATGAGAAGACATAAACTTTGTACAGCTGTGAATGACAATATTGGGAAATGAAAATAACCAATATGCAAACCATTATAAATGACATTTGGTCAGATTCATAATCACTACAGAAAAATCAATAATATTTCCTCACAACAGCAGTAGCCAATGTGAATGTTTAAAATGAGTCATCATTCACTATAGCAATTAAAAAATATAAACCGCTTAAGAGTACAGACAAATGTACTTTTATTGAAAAAAGTTTCAAATTCTAGTAAATGACGTAAAACAAGACACTAATATATAAAGAGATGTATTGTGTGTATTAGTCAGTGTTCTCCAGAGAAACAGAACCAATACTATGTGTGTATATCTATCCATCTATATCAATCTATCTATCCATCTCTCTCTCCCCCCTCTATCTCTTTCTCTATCTATCTACCTATCTATCTATCGAGAGCGATTTATTTTATGGAATTGGCTCACGTGATTATGGAGCCTGATAAGTCCAAAATCTTCAGGGTAGGGCATCGGGTTGGAGATCCAAAGAAGAGCCAATGTTGCTCAAATCTGAAGGCCTTCTGCTGTCAGACACTGCATTAGGTTGGGAGAGGTCAGTCTTTTACTCTATTAATGCCTTCATCTAATTGAATGAGGCTCCCTCAGATAATAGAAAGCAATTCGCTTTACTCAAAGTTCACTAATTAAATGTTAATCTCATCCAAAAATGCCCTTGCAGAAACATCCAGAAAATGTTAGAAACATATCTGGGTACCTCATAAAATTAATCTTCATATTGTGGTTATAGATGGATTGACTTAATACATAAAAATATCAAATTTTTTATATTTTCAATTATGGCATAATTTTCTTGATAAATTGGCAAATATTTTAAAATTATATAGAATATGTTTTTATAAATAATTAATGAACTTTGAAAGAGAAAAAGAAATACTGGAGACTTCTTAAAATCAGAGAATAATATACAATACATTTAGTGGTACTAACCTCCTAACAGACAAAGTGAACAAAAAACCAAAATATTGAGACCAGAAAAAAACCATGAGTATCTAAAAGCCTGCTATATATAAAGTGATATCACAAGTCATTGAGACAACCATTGAGAAAAATTCACACTGAGTCGATTATATACTATTAGGCAACACTATAGAAATATATTCACTACTTAGACATAAAATGGAGGGGACTCTTTACCTCATATCATACATTAATATAAAATCTAAATGGGATAGATGAATCCATATTAAAATAAAATATTATAACTTTTAAAATAAAATATGAAACAGTAGCTTTCTAATATTAGAAATGAGAAAAATATTTTAAATGAGACATCGAAAAGTACAAACCATAAAGTACAAATGATGGATATGATTACATCAAATTTAGTACTTTATTTTTAATATGTCACCTGTCAGACTTTCAGCAACACCCCTGTTCACAGAAGCCTTTGCCATCTGGCTCACAGTCTTCTGGTCCATCCCAAATTCTACGTCTACCCAGGGTGACTTAACCAATACAAAATCATGTCTTCTTATTCCTTGACATCATTATTTTAAATCACTGCTTATGGAAAAGGCAAAACAATGCAGGGAGTAAAATAATTAGTTGTTTCCCAGGATTTAGGGGCAGGGAGCGATAAATAAGTGGAGCAGGGGATTTTTAAGGCAAAGAAACTATTCTGTATGATACTATCAGTGTGGGTACATCTCATCTTACATTTCTTAAAACCTGCAGAAAGTACAACACAAACAGTTAAACTTAATGAAAACACTGGCCTTTGGTGATACTTATGTGTAAATGTTAGTCTATTGATTGTAACAAATGTGCCACACTGGTGTGGGATATTGATGGTGGGGGGAAGCTGTGAGTGGGAAGAAGACAGGAGATAGGTCAAACTCTCTGTACTTTCTGTTCAATTTTTCTGTGAATGTAAATGGATATAGAAAGAAGTCTATGACAAATAATACATAGGCTTGTCCCCTGAGATTAAGAACACTGAATTCAATAACTGCTTACTAGACACTGCATTGGTATGCCAAATTCAGCATGCCCAAATATAAACACATTATTTACCCTCACAACTGTTCCTTACCTTAATAAACGCCAATGTGCTCAACTAAAGTGTCCATAAAAAGAAACAATAGAGGAAAGACATACAAAGAAATGAAAGCCAAGGATTTGTTCTTGAACTTTCTCCCTTAATCTCCACCTCCAAGCAATAACCAAATCCTATTGATTTTCTTTGTAAATCTTTCTTAAATCTCTGCACTTCTACTCAAATCACTATCATATTGTAGTTTGGATCTCTATAATCTCTTTCAGGAAGCATTGCAACTGTATCTTAGCTTATTTCCCTTCTTCAAATCTTGCTCCATTCCAAAAAATTTAATAGCCAAGTTTTATGAAAGGGTAAGATGCATCATGTTACTGCTTAAAAATTTTACATTGATCCTTCACTGACCTTAAATTTGAAGTAAAGAATACTTAGTAGTGCTCATTATTTTTTATAACCTATCCCTCAATTAACTCTCTAGCCTAATTTATTTCCTTTGTTCAAACCAAACTGTTCATCATCACTGCACTTCTGCCAGATCTTTTAGATAGGTCTTCACATCTCAGTTTGATCTATTCTCAAATTATTATAATTCCTCACAATTCTCCAATTCTAAGATGAGATGATGTTAAATAACATGCAACTACAAAATCTCAGTGTCTTAAAACAATTTATTTCTTTCTCATGCCATACGTCCATTTAATGAGCTGCTGTTGGTACAGATATTCTTTAATCCAGAACTCAGATTGACAGAGTAGCCAATATTTGGAGCACAGCCTGTTGACATAACAAAGGAAAAGAAAATTCTAGAGTATCTGGACCTGACAATTAGTTGTTGGATCGGGAAGTGATCTGTGACACTTTGGCTCATAGTTATCACCTAGAGAGTACTTCATGGTTCCACTAAGCTCAGGGCTAGGAATTTCATTCCTATCAAGTATCTGGTATACTTGATGAACATAACTAATGGTTGCCATGTTAATGTTAAAAGTTCCCTCTGTCAGTATAATAGCCTAAGAGGATACTGTCCATTAATTCCTGTGTCTATGTTTTTAGTTTGACATCAAATATTTTAAATAATAAACTAGAAATCATTCCAAAAGACAAATACTCAACGAAGCAAACATAAAGACATTTAATTACCTTCGGGAGGGGCTTTGCAGGCTTGCAGTGTAGTCCTCCAACAAATTCAAAGTGAGGTAAATAAGGGTAAGGAAATTCAAAATCCCAGGAAGTTCGAATCAACCACATTTCAGCTTTCCCCATAGTCTCACATATTGTGGTAGGTTTTCCTGAATAAAAAGGAAGGGTAATAGAGGAAAAACAAACTAATGTGAAGTACAAAATGTTTTACCATCCAATTTTCTAAGAAAAATTCTTAAAGTACCAATTTTGGGCCTATGTAACACATGTGAATCCAATTGGCCTCCCCCACATCAAAAGTATACCATAGTGAGGTTATGAATAACCAAACTAGAATTTCAGTCCAGAACATGGAAAAAGCCTGGCGACAATACAGTCTCTCTGCTTGAGCTAAGCCTGCGCCCTAGTCCCTGAACAGAGTTGGCAGATGCTCCCAGCAGGAGCAGGGAACTCAGGCAGTGATCCTCAGCTCACAATAGCAGTGTCTCCTCCTCTTCTCCAATTCCAATTTATCTCACCCTTGGTGCTCCAAAAAACGTTTGATGTGTTTGAAAAATGACTTTTGTAATTTATCTATCTTTCTCTGGTGCTTTCAAGTGTGCCACTATAACTAATTACATCTTACCAGGAATGGAAATCTCTTTTTTTTTCTTTTTATTAAGATTATGATAGTTTACATCCTTGTGAAATTTCAGTTGTACATTATTGTTAGTCACGTTGTAGGTACACCACTTCACCCTTTGTGCCTTCCCCCAGCCCCCCCTTTCCCCTGGTAACCACCAATCAGTTATCCTTGTCTATATGTTAACTTCCACTTATGAGTGGAGTCATACAGAGTTTCTCTTTCTCTATCAGGCGTATTTCACTTAACATAATACCCTCAAGGTCCATCCATGTTGTTGTGAATGGGACGCTTTTGTCCTTTTTTATGGCTGAGTAGTATTCCATTGTGTATATATACACCATATCTTCTTTATCCAATCATCAGTTGCTGGGCACTTAGGTTGCTTCCACTATAAAGAATTAACACAGATCAACAACAAAAAATCAAACAACCGGATCAAAAAATGGGCAGGGGACATGAACAGACATTTCTCCAAGGAAGATGTACAGATGGCCAATAGACACATGAAAAGGTGCTCATCATCACTAATCATCAGGGAAATGCAAATCAAAACTACACTAAGATATCACCTTTCACCTGTTAGAATGGCAAAAATATCCAAAACAAAAAGTTACAAATGTTGGAGAGGTTGTGGAGGAAAAGGAACCCTCATACACTGTTGGTGGGAATGCAAACTGGTGCAGCCACTATGGAAAACAGTATGGAGATTTCTCAAAAAATTCAAAATAGAAATACCGTATGACCCAGCCATCCCACTACTGGGTATCTCTCCTAAGAACTTGAAATCAGCAAGTCCAAAAGTCCTATGCACCCCTATGTTCATCGCAGGAATGGAAATCTTTTGACAAACTTTTCAAAAGTGATTGTCTTTTTGCTATACAAAATTAAAGTTCCTGTTTCAAAAATTTTGTCTTCTTTGGTAAAGATATAGCACTGCATAATAATCTGGAGGCAAAATATTTGCTCTTCTGACATATTTAGTTGGCAAACAGTACAAAAGGGCACCCTTCAACTGAAGTGGTAACCATTAAACATTAACTGAATAAGAACTCAAATTAGTGACTCTGAATTAAATCATTTTTCCTTAGTTTAGAGTTAGAGCTTCATTTCTAAATTCTATTCAGTTATTGTGGAATAAGGAAGGTTATTTAGAGATTTGGTGTCCTTCTGAAATATGCATTTAGTATTACTGATATGAGGAAATCATAATAACTATATGGTTTCCCAACATATGGCCTTTTGAATATTCTCTTTGATGTTCTAAGTGAACTAAGGTTGGATCAGAAAATATAAGGGATTTTGAAGTTACCAAAACAATCCATCTGTATAAGAGATCACGAGCAAATATCCATAATTTATGGGTTTGATCATGGTAATGACAATGATATTTAAAATCCGGTTTTATATTCTGTATTTATCCCATTTTGTTAGCTCATCGGTGTCAGCCATGGGTATAATCTTATTCTCTTTATGTGATGTTTCACTCCCTCATTATTTATATGATAGTTTTCTTTGAGATATAATTGATATATCATACAAGCCTTTCTTTTAAACACAATTGAGTAGTTTTTAGTATATTGGTAAAGTTATACAAGCATCACCACTATTTAATTTTAGAATATGTTCATTTCCCCAGAAAAAATCCCATGTCCGTTGGCAGTCAGGCTCTATTTCTCCCTCTTCACATCCCCTGACAACCATTAATCTACACTCTGTTTCTATTGGCTTCTTCCAGAATAATCTTATATCATTTCATATAAATGAAATTATCCACTATGTGTCCTCATGTGCTACCTTCTTTAACTTAGTATAATGTTTTCAAGGTACGTCCACGTTGTAGTATCTATCAGTACTTCCCTACATTTTATTGCTGCATAATATTTCTTTGTATGGATATACTTCATTTTGTTTACCTATTTATCAGTTGTGAACGTTTGGGCTGTTTCTATTTTTGGCTACTTTGAATAATGCTTCTATGAGCATTCATGCACATATTTCTGTGAACATATAAATTTTCATTTATCTCGTATGTATACCTCAGAGTAGAACTGCAGAGTCATATGGTTGATTGACTCTCTTTCATATCAAGATGATAGCATTTCCTATTAAATATCTACTCCTGAGGGGCTCGCCCCGTGGCCGAGCAGTTAAGTTCAAGTGCTCCACAGCAGGCGGCTCAGTGTTTCATTGGTTCAAATCCTGGGCGCGGACATGGCAATGCTCATCAAACCACGCTGAGGCAGCGTCCCACATGCCACAACTAGAAGGACCCACAACGAAGAATATACAACTATGTACCAGGGGGCTTTGGGGAGAAAAAGGAAAAAATAAAATCTTAAAAAAAAAAATCTACTCCTGAGATGATGTCTAATGCACTTAATGTATCTTAGTGAAATGAGGACAATATAGGACAAGAGGAGTAAAAAGTAATGGATTTGGATGAAAAGATTATGAGAAAATGTTCCAAATTTGGAAATCAAAAGAAATTATGTTATGCCCTTTTGATTCCATGCCGCGGCATTTTGATGAAGGAAAGAAGGATTATTAAATTTTAGAAGATTGTCTCTATGTTTTACTTGGTAATTTGTTATTGATTTACTATGAACTTTTGAGTCCAGCTACAGTAACATAGTGTTAACTTGTATATTTTTGTCTGGTAGAAAAGAACATCCCCTAAAAATTATGATTTTATTGTCCCAAAGTACATTAACCAGAGTTGTGTCTAACCTAGTAGAATTATCCTAACGTTCCTCTTTTTCCCAAAAATGTTTGTAAATAGTTCTTCAAAATATTTTTTGAACTTGATTTGTATCTTACTGATTTCTTCCTCAATGATTTGAATTTATCTACATTATAATTCACTTAATAACTCTTTATGAGTTATAGTTTTAAAAATTAGAAAAATATACTCAGAATACATTTTAAAGTGAGGATCCTAAATTCTGAATAACCAAATGACAATCTATAGCTAACAGCATTTTTTTAATTTATGAGAGTCAAAGAAACATTTTCCTTCTATTTATCATCTTCATTATTCTTTCTCAGATTATTAACATGTTCCCAAAAAAGAATATTCTAGAATGCCAAGAGGTGGGAGAGAATACAGACAGAGTCATATCTTATCACTAATGTTTCCCTATGTAAGAAGCTCCAAAAGTGAGTACCAAACCGTTGGAATCAGAGGTAAATAAACAATTTTGATCCAGCATTTGATCAGTCACTGCCTAATCCATGACTCAGAAAATGTCTCCAAGATGAGATTCTAAGTTATCTTTTCTCGGTTTTGCCTTTTGCTGCTTGATTCTGACCATGGATAAGTGATGGGTGCAGCAGTCTCTGCCTACATTTCTTTTAGGGTCAAGTCTTGAAGAAATAAGCACCTGCTTCTATCACAGAATGCCTAGAAAAAGCCTCAATGCAATGTGTCAGTCTTGATGAGGTCATATGTCTCCCTGAACATACGGCATGTTCCTTGGCAGCATACTTTATTGAAAACATTCATTTTTTTGTGTGAGTTGTGAGGAATGATTTCTTGGAGAAAAGTTAGACTAGATACCAGAAAAAACAAAGAGTTGTTGCTTTATAAAATAAGAGACCACAACTCTAAAGGAAAAAATTAATATTTTAAGAAATAAACTTAAAATTAATGATAAGGTATTATAAACACTTCTGTTAAAATTAGTAACAAGGAGAAGATGGCAGCATAGACAGACTCTGAACTCACCTCCTCACACAAACACAATCAGGTTACAACTATTTTTGGAAAAATTACCCTGGAGAGAAAACTGAAAACAGGATGAAAAGAACCGCTACAACAACAGACAGTACTGACTGAGGCAGAAGAGCCAGAAATTCCTTCTGAAGAGAAGAAAAGCCACATTTGTGAGCCATGAAGTTCCACAGCCAGCCAGGTGAGAGCCACACTAAGGTACGCAGCCCTTTATGGAGGAGTGGGGACCTGAGCAGGGGCCCATTACCAATATAAGCACCCTTCAGACTCAGAACAACTGAGATGAGTGTCCTACTATTTTGCTTTGCTGGCTATTAGCTTCAGTAGGGAATACCCCGAGAAAAGCTATCACATGAAAGCCAAAAATATCCAATTCTTATAGGGTCCATGCACAAATTCACCCATCTCAAAGAGCAGCTAAAAATCACAAGAAAGAAAGCTGCACAGTCCTTTGGTGAAAAGAGACTCACCTGGTAGGCTCTGAGTGCATCATGGTGAGAGGTGAGGCCTCTCTAGAGACTGAGACTTTGGTAGTAGACATTGTTATGACCTAGTGCAGGCATGCTGACCCAAATGCTGGCAGATGTCATTGAAGTTCTTTCTCTGACCTGTTAGTCCAGGGGCCTGCCACACCCACTAGAGCACAGATTTAATCCAATTCAGCCAGGCCAGGAAGCCTGACCTAGGGACTGGCACCACCCAACAGCCAGCCTTCAGGCTAATTGAAGGCCTGCATAGACTGGGAGACTTAATCCTCTACAGGCAGGCCAGGGTGTCTGTCTCTGTGCTTGTGT